CGCTGCAGACGTCACGTGCGGTTAGGCGGGCGCAGGCGGGCCCCATCTTGAGGGGTTCCCATACGACCGGAGGCCCAGCCCGTTTGGAGGGGATGGGGGGTGGGGGATGATCCCGACTCCTAGACTCCAGAGGCGGGGAGTGATATTCAATGTAGCAGGAGGGCCTCACTCCCCGTGTAGGCCGCGCGGAGAGGGGCGGGGGTAGGGGGCGAGGGGTTGCGATAGAGTGACTGTGAGTGCAAGCTGCTCAGCGGTGCAGCCACGCGACGGGATGCGCCTGCACCCGAGACAGCGCGAGTGAGCGAGGGGGAGGGGGATGCGAGAAATAGCAAGAGAGAGGGGGGCAAGTGGAGGGGGAAAGATGACGAGTCAAGGGGCGGCACGCGGCACGGTCTCTCTCTCTCTCTCTCTCTCTCGCTCTCTTCTCTTTATCTCACTCTCGCCCTAGCCCGTCACACACCGTCGTCGCCACGCGGATTAAAATAATTCGTCCCGCTGTCGCGAGTGCAGCCGTCGCGTTGCACAGTGCACAGGAGGGCGCGGCCATGCGCAGGAATAAGATTGTGGCCGCCTTTGCTCGCCCTCGGTTCGGCGGATTCAGCCCCCGCGCGATGGCACGGCCGCATGCCCGCGGAGGCTGTAACTGTAAGTGTGCGAGCGAGGTGGACAGCGAGCTCCTCCCTCCCCCTCCTCCCCAATGTCCGCGAAAGACTGCCTGGCTGTGGCGGGACGGGCGGGCCTGATGTGCTCCCCGCTTTGTCCCCGCGGTGTCTAATCACCGACCCGCTCCGTCCTCACCCCACCCCCCTCCCCACCGTGAGCGCCAGCTGCTCCGTCCTTGCGACTCGGTGCGGTCAGTTCAGAGCGGCGTAACTACAAAAGTCGTGTCAGCCTTTCAAGAAAGTGACAAAATTAAATTAAAAAAAATATATATATGAAAACGTGATACGCCCTCTGAAATGTGCCGCGCCCCGACAAGTTTTTGGATCCCGGGGCAGGACAGTGCGGCGTGTTTACCTGACCACTAGCTCTCTCCGCGTACGCACCCCCAGCGCTCCCCAGCGCCCTTCAACCCCGCTCTCCTCGGCCCCCAATTCACTGTCCGCTCCGCTCCGCCCCGCGCCCCCCGCTCTCCCCATTGTATTCTTGACCGGGAATCCGTTTCCTTTCATTCTGGCCTGTTCGTCGCACTGGACTACGCCCGGGGGTGGGGGTACAATTGGACCGTGAGGAACAGTGCGAGGGAATAAGAAAGGGGGTGCG